TCTAGTCTGACCTCCCGCATGATGCAGGCCACAAAAGCTGACCCACCCCTTTCCCTTGACTCAGCTGTTGAAGTCCCCAAATCCTGTGATTTAAAGACTTCAAGTTGCAGAAAATCCTCCAGCTAGCGACCCCCGCCCCATGCTGCGGAGGAAGGCAAAAAACCTCCAGGGCCTCTGCCAATCTACTCTGGAGGAAAATTCCTTCCCAACCCCAAATATGGCGATCAGTAGAACCCCGAGCATGCAGGCATGATTCTCCAGCCAGACCCTCATTGACCATTGATACTATTTACCCGCAATGGCACGCTGTTGATTAATTGACTAAAATCACGTTATCCCATCAAACCATTCCCTCCATAAACTTATCTAGCTTAATCTTAAAGCCAGAGAGGTCTTTCGCCCCCACTGTTTCCCTCGGAAGGCTGTTCCAAAATTTCACCCCTCTGATGGTTAGAAACCTTCGTCTAATTTCAAGTCTAAACTTCCCTACGGCCATCTTATATCCATTCATTCTCGTGTCCACATTAGTACTGAGCTGAAATAATTCCTCTCCCTCCCTGGTATTTATCCCTCTGATATATTTAAAGAGAGCAATCATATCCCCCCTCAGCCTTCTTTTGTTAGGGTAAACAAGCCGAGCTCCTCAAGTCTCCTTTCATACGACAGGTTTTCCATTCCTCTGATCATCCTAGTGGCCCTTCTCTGTACCCGTTCCAGTTTGAGTTCATCCTTTTTAAACATGGGAGACCAGAACTGCACACAGTACTCCAAATGAGGTCTCACCAGTGCCTTGTATAACGGAAGCAGCACCTCCTTATCCCTACTAGATATACCTCACCTAATGCATCCCAAGACTGCATTAGCTTTTTTCACGGCCACGTCACATTGCCGACTCCTCAACAGTTTTTTCACTTGTGAGAAAATAGATTGGGCCTCACGGGTGTTGCGTGTCTGAGTTAACGACTTGAGATTGTCGAAATAACAGGCTCAATTGAAATTATTTAATCTAAGATTATCAGTCAGAGATTAGTAAAGCACTAAACAGAATACAGAAATAAATAGATACATTACTACCCTTTGTTGTCAGACTAAGAGCTAGATATGTGTCTCTCCTGCATCTGGACGTGCAATTTTCGTTCCCCCAACCTAAGTTTTCAGACAAAGGAAACCTAGTTGCCAAGAATATTCTCCCAGAAACATATATTGTGATGTCATTTCTATAGAGTCTCAGTTTACCTGACTCATATGAGAAGGCATGATTATTTACAGCTGAGAGGACTAACAATTCTTCACGTTAATATCTCTCAGTGGGTCTTTCTTACCCCACAATCATTCTTCCATATTGATTTCCCCAACAGAAAACATCTGCTATAACAATAATCTCTTACTAGTTTTCCTAGTTTAAATATGCTTATGTCAGCATTATATATATATGTTAAGGAGGTGGTTTTCCAAGAACATGAAGGTGCCCTAGAGTTATTAAATACAGCATAATGAATGAATTTCTGAATAGGATTACTTATTAGTCAAAACCAGTTTTCTAGGCCTTAGAATTCAGACATACTCTTTGCCAAAGATAAAGATCTAAAGAATAGTTAATATATATAAATGAATCAAATATACAGAAATAAAGAACTAAAGGTATTACTGTTTACTAACAGGTACTAACATAAGGCACATCTAAATCTCTAGCTCCCCCTAGTCCTGAATCTAAGAAATTCTCAAAGGACTTCTGCTGACAAGGCTTTTAAAACAACTCAGTAATACTCACCAAAGATTCAGAAAGAAAAGGAAGGTTCTCTATAGCAGTGGCTCCCAATCTTTCCAGACTACTGTACCCCTTTCAGGAGTCTGGTTTGTCTTGTATACCCCAAGTTTCACCTCACTTAACTACTTGCTTACAAAATCAGACATAAAAATACAAGTCTCATAGCACACTATTACTGAAAATTGCTTACTTCCTCATTTTTACCATATAATTATACAATAAATCAATTGGAATATAAATATTGTACTTACGTTTCAGTGTACAGTATATACAGCGGTATAAACAAATCATTGTCTGTATGAAATTTTAGTTTGTACTGACTTTGCTAATGCTTTTTATGTAGCCTGTTGTAAAACTAGGCAAATATCTAGATGAGTTGATGTACCCCTCTGGAAGATCTTTGTGTACCCTCAGGGGAATGTGTACCCTGGTTGAGAACCACTGATCTATTGGACCATTGCCACCGTAACTGTCCATCACACTGGTCCAAACTCCTTAAGAAATAATTTCCAAAATGCTAGCTATGAAGATCTTTCCTAGCTACCACCCAGCAACAGTTCAAGGAAGACAAAACAAAGCCAACACCAGGATATCATGCTGCAGCATAGGCGCCAACTTTT